GTTAATTTGTTCCATCTCACAGCCATTGACATTCCTTAGAAAAAAAACAGGTTTAAAGAGCTCTTAAGCACAAAATTCTTCTCAGCAGGCAGGTTAGCAACCAAAATGTCACACATATCCATTCACATTTTGATTGGCTGACTGTTGCTAACATTGTTGTATTCAAGTCCATCACAAGTCATTCAGTCTTAAGCCAATTCACAAGCTATTCACATGAGCTGTGACAAAAGCATTCCTTTGTCATCGTTCACCCTGTTACTTATGACTAGCCCTGTGAAGGCACTTGTGATGGACTCGAATACAATACTGGTTTCACAAGATGGTCATTTTGGATTGTGCTCCCTGAATTCACTTCATTTATTGAATACTCTGAAAAGGGAGGGAGCCTGACTATTTTGCTGGTTTACTGGTACATGTGTAGAGTACCCTAGTGAGTACATCATGTTCACAATGGTGTGTAAAAGAGATTAGGGCCAGGACCAGCGCATGAACCAACACACGCAGGCACTCCATTTGTTTGTACAGCACTTCTTGGTTCCAAATGATGTCGCATTTCAGTACTCTGTTGCCCTGTTTGAATTCTTTTTCTTTTCTTTCAGAAAATAAAGGTGACCATAGTTTGGAATTACACGGCAAGGCACCAAAATGGTTATTTGTAATTTGCCCCATCGCACTATCTTCATTCCCACACAGGGATTATATTTGCCCCTGAATTTCCATGGAATACTTTCCACTTTGCACCTCTGTGAAAATTGCCCCAAATCATCAACTCCATCAAGAGAGGATTGATTTAGTGCTGGTGTCCTACAATGTATATGGTAGGCAAAATCCAATAAGGCTTAGAAGAATCTTCTTGTCCATTGTAACTTTGTAGCAAATGTGTGCATTTAGGTTCAAGGTGTCTGCGTTAGAGATGTTTAATGTGAGGAGTGTAGACCATTGAAATAAATAGAAATTTTGTATTTTCATTTTTCAGCAACGTGATTGTTCTATTTGCCGTTATTTGAATGCAGTACTACACAAGGCAAAAGATAACTGAACGATTTCTGAGATGAGCTACATATAAATGAGCTAAAATGCCTATTTTGAAGTAGAGTTGTCATAATATGTAGCAATTTACAATGCAAAAAGTTCAAGTAGTGAGGAATAATTGTTTTCTCCAGGATTTAAAATGAGTTTCCTGAGCAATGTAAAATTCCCTGGGGAACATTTTTTTGGGAAAAGTTTTGTCCTTTGTTTGCCGTGGGGGATCATTCTCTGTCAATTGCTCATAAACATGTAAACATAAACATAGTCATTAAAAGAAAATATGCATCTAGACTGTAAAGAAATGGAAACCTCGGAGGTGAAGCAACAAAGATATACAATAGATATCTTTATTTGTATAATACTTCAGTTTTTTTTTTTACACAGTTGATAAGATACCAAAAACAGTTACAAGTCAATGTTAATTATCCTAGCATACATACACTTACTCATGTACAAGTACTTTGACATTTCCTAATTACCAAACACAAAATGTCTACTCATGATCTGTATTAACGTGTGGCTACAGGAGTACGAAGACTCATGAATGTTCCTGGGACGCGAAGAGATAGTTCAAGAAGCGAAGCAAAAATCGGTACTTTTTGGTTACTGCCGTTCCTAACCCCTGCTCAAATGCAGCACCCGTCATACATCACATACTTCCCACTGGCCTTGTAAACTGCCTTTTGGGGTACTAAAACCTTTTCTTTTCAGAACACTTCTCATTTGATTTGTACACAATTTCCACATCACCGAGCCCCTCTCACCAATCTGTCTTGTTTGATTCCAGTTCAGCATAATCAATTTGCATCATTAATATGCGAACATCACAGGCCATATGGAAATTAAGAATCTTACTTTCAACAGTGTGACTCGAGGCTCTTGTAATTCAGCGTTAAGTCACTACACAGGTATGAAATCTACACGCACTTGTTGAAATATAAATACATACATTTTACCTGGAATATGGAATCAGCTAAGTCCATTAAGACTGGCTGTGAAGGGTTCACTGTGTACAGAGGGGGTGTGTCTTTCCATACATCAAGGAGTAACTGTCAAGCTTAAGGAACTTCAAAATTTCTACTAAAGGATTTCTGAGGCACAATGAAACACATGACCAGATTGATGAATAATCACAATGACTTTATACGCATAATTAAACATCTAAGGTGGTCTCTAAATAAGCACAACAGGTACATGTCATAGCTAGCTTCCACACGTTTGGCAGAATTTCACTGAAAATTGCAAATTCTGAAATAAACAGTTTGTACCATCGAATGAGCTTCTGAACTGAAGACAAGAGAAAAGCATGAAAGCTGCACAACTAAGCCCTCGATCTTATTGAATTCGAAAGAAAACCAAGTCTGGTATCTAAGGCTGGAATGAGGCTGTATTGGAACTTTTCATGCTGTGACATCACAGATTTAAGAAAGAAATTCAGGCATGTGCCATAAGCTGTCGAATGAAAACTGAGGAAGAAAACTTGAAACATGTCCACTGAGCGTGACAAGGTGTGCTGCGAAAGCAGAACAATGTTTCATGCAAATGTATATTTTGATGTGGAGGCAAAGGAAACTTGGAAAACACCTAGGTCTGACATAACTCAGGTTGTGTCCTAACTTCTTAGTAATGTCTGGAAAGGACAGGTCCATGTACATGCACGTCTATGGTGAACGCGTTAAGGTCAGTTCCACAGTCGCATGAGTTATTTCCAGTCGTGGCCAAGTCATTTGGAAATGGCCTCTGTCCCGGCTTTCTGTGTCATACAGTGTATGGTACAAGTATATTGATTAATTGAGCGACCTGAATTCAAAGCTGTTGCTGCATGGGCACCATCCTCGCGCACAGGTGGTACATGCACATTATACGCATCCTCAATCAAACAGTTGGGTGTTGTGGCTTGCCAAAATGTATGCGCATGCTTCATGTTCTACAGTGCACAGCCCAGGCATGTGAGTGTCCTGACATCACAGTTAACGACAACCTCCTCCTATTACATGTATTCTACACAGCCCACGCAGTGCGCCCTCACCGAGGTTTTTTAACATTCACACTGAGGGATAATGCATCAAACAGGGGGCAGCCATCAACCCTCAGTGACTGAAGGCACACTAGGCGTGCTTCCTGCGCTATGGACGTTGCTCTGGGGGTGCAGGAACAGGTCTCTCCACGTAGACAGTTTCACTGATGGCATCTCATGACAGATGGATGCATAAAAATGATATGGCTTTGTGAGCAGCAATTCTGATGCATGTCGATTCGTAAAAGTCACAGCATTGCGCGGTTTGCATCCTCTTGTCTTCGTGACTGGAATGTGACACTTATTCAGGGTGGACAACAATGGGAACAGCCACTCATAATTGGGAGGGGGGGTCACAGTTGATTCTCTAAGATTCTCTCTATGTGTACGTACACGGTGTACCGTAACAATACTCGGTCCGCAGCATCTAATCTAAAACGCGTGTCCGTTCGGGCTGCGACTACTTGAAAGACGGCAAGTTGGGCAAGTTGATGTTTGGTGTGGGGATGTTGGGAAGGTTCATATTCTTGACGGCAGCTGCTGCTCTCGCTGGTGCTGCGGCCAGACCCGCCTGGAAGAAAAATACCCACACGATTCGTCCAATATGATGGAAATGATATCAACGGTTGGAAATTATTTCAATCAGTCTACAAACAACGGTCATGGGCATCAGTCAATGGAAGAAGTGGGAGGTATGAACCTCCCCCCTCTCAGTTTGGCACCAACTTCGGGCAGAGACTCCCTGGTCTGTTGCTTTGCCAACGCACATACCCCAATCCACGTTTGAGAAGTGTTCAATGACCATGGCTACGGATACAGTTTATTGACAAAATCGGGGGGGGGGGGAAAAGGTTCCCGATACCAGACCAAAAAAGGGAAGTTACAGCAAAACAGCTGGAATAACAGTCACAAAAAGACTGAGTTTGCTCTCTGTGAAAAGTAGCCAAAGTTTAAAGCCACAACCTGTGACAAATTAAACAAAGCAAAGCCCACCTCCTGTTTCTCCAGTTTATTCTGTTCCTCTATCCTCGTCATGATTTCCGTCATGTTGGTTTCTAGTACCATGCCGCCCATCACGAGCTCAGACAGAATGTTGTGTACCTGGGGTAGAAACAAAGAAGATATTCCAAGTGAATGCCCGCAGACCAGAATCTGGTAATCATAAAGTCTGGGTGGGAAAATCCGGATACCAAAATCGTTTACCTTATCTACATGGAAAATGAGGTCCAATTCACAGACGTTCTCAAAACACTTGTCGAGCGTTTCAACAAAAACCTGAAACAAAAATTACAACAAAATATTACATCATGTGATATTGAAGCACTTACTTGTACATTATATTAATGAGACAGACTTCAGCCAAATTCCATGTGCAAAGAGGGATAGGCTTGTCCCTGGTCAAGCTATTGCATTCAAAACTTAGTTTTAACGAAAGGGGCATGTACAGTGTGTTCAAATTTCAACCCTAGGTTAAGTTCTATTAAATAGCACTGATAGTTAACCCTGCGTAGTTCCACAAATCCCACTCAAACTGAGGAACTATTGCATACAGCTGGTTATCAATGGCCATTTTTGTAACTGTGTACAGAGTGTAAAACTGATCTGAAGATAATTGAAAAAAATAAGAGAGACTGGACACAGGGAGAGTTGCAGCCAACCGCAAACTAACGACAACAATGCAATTTCGCAAAAAGGCATGACTGGGGTTGCTGGCGTGCGACTGTACTGCACCAGCCCACTGGTAGGAAGCCATTGCCCACTGGTCGAACGATAATCAGTGCTCAAACTTGCCCCAAGATTTCCTGTCGTCCGACCCCTTTCCTGAGAACAATACATATTTTGGGGATAAAACATACTAGTTCATCAAAGAAATTTACATGCATGCGGTTCAATGTTTTCCCCAGGGACGTTAAATGAACATGTTGTATGTTGTGTTGAATATGTTCTAGTTTATTGTACTTGCAGTTTTATTAATTGCAGTCAACAGCCCTTGATCGTGAATCATTCATTGTCACATAATAGGGATGCGACCCTTAATACCCCTCACAGAAAGCAACACTCTGCATATTTACTTCTCTGGAAATACTCACCTGTATTAAATCGAGGATGCCTAGCTCGCTCTCCGATGAATCCACGCAGAAGACAAAGTAGAGAGTGGCGTAATGTCTGTACACAAGCTTGAAATCTGAACCGCCAATCAAACTGAACACAAATGGCAAGGAAATTACTTTGGTAATATAAATATAAGATAACAGATGTGAAAAATGCCTATTTTGGTGGGATTTTGATGTGGAATGAATCTCAGCAAATTCAATACGCGACTTCAGAACTCCTACCCCCTTCAGAAGTTCATCTCGGACAGGCAGTCTTTTAAGGGAAAAATCTTGAGGGTGATGGCCCTTTGGCTGGAAGCTGACATTTCTTGAAAAATATTCACAGACAAAAACGGTGGGAATAGTGACACAGTTGAAGATTCTTACATGTAAGTCAAATGCTAATCAAACAAAACTGCATCCAAAGCATTCCTATCTCACTGTTCACCCAGTGTGTTCCTTGTGTTTGATTTTGCGAATGGTCTTGTGATCTTGTGAAAGTTCGTGCATCTGATGGTGGCCACTACAGCACTACACTGCACTTGTTCCTTGAAGTGAGGGCCTCTGGTACAGGAAGTATACTCCCCCAAATCATACATGTTCTGGGATTTAATCTTGTCCAACTCCTGATCATAGAACAGGCCTTGGAGAGAGTTCCATATACGGACAGCACTTGATGCCCCTACGAACAAACCTATGAGACTTGTCTGAAAAATGCCTCAGAATTTTCCTTCCTAAATTTCACTTTTTAGGCCGTGTTATAACTTTCTGACGGCTATTGTAACATTTTAAGGGAAAAGTAGTGTTGTTTATACTTGGAACTCTTTTCCAGGCATTTAACCAGGGGCATAAATCCTGGCGCGGGGGGGGGGGTTACGTGTATATCCTCCTCGCCCACTTTTTTACCACAGGGGATGGGTTATTGGATTATTCCCGCCCCATTTTTGAGTGATCAGGAAAGAAAAAAGGCAGATTTTGCATTTTTTTTTTAACTTTCCAGCCACCAAAATGTACTCTGCAGGGCTGAAAAAGAGAGAACAAGTACAAAAAACTTTAAATACACCATTTTAATGAAAAATTAAGGTTTTTACAGCACACACATGACTTGCATCATGAACAGCCCCCCTCGCTAGGTCATGTGTTGTCAAGCGATCCTCTTCTCCCATCCCCTTTTCAATTTTTCCATGGCCATGCAATCTTAGTTTAACCCAAGTCTGCTCAATCCTCCCAGTTCCCAACACAGATTAATGCCACAGCCTCCAACCGGTCATGTACTTTACCTTCCTCCCTCTAGGAAATTGCACACGTTGTCATCTCGCTTGGACACTAGATGGAATGTTTCTCGGATGATTTGCTGCTGCATATCTTCATTCTGAGAGAGCAGAACAGTACACAGCTTTAACATGACGAACACATTCAATTCTACAACTAGTGTGGGCCTCTACACGTGCGGTGTAAAGAATTTAGTGACTTTTTCTTTCTTGGTGACTCGTGTGGCTCAATAGTTCAAGTACAAACATGACAAATGGTCTGGGCTGCTAATCTCCAGTAAGGGGGTAGAATGGGCAGACCAGGGGGGGGGGACGGGCGCACAACGGTCGGTAAGCCTATTCCATTCATTAAAAGGGGGTGTTCATAAGGAACTGTTTCATTTAAAGTTCCAATCTCCAGCGTTTCCATTATCTACAAGGAATATTGAAGAACTTTCTCTATTTGCAATATGTACACTAGCCTTTTGTTTCATGGAGAATTTAGAAAAGGGTTCCCATTTCAGCTTCTCGATCCAACTATGGATCTTGCATGCAAATACGTTTACAATGCACACGCTGCACTGTGATCTCCTCACATTAACACCCCTAATTCCATGCATGACACCAATTTAATTTGTAAAACTCCCACCTTCAACATTGATTTTTTTTTCGGAAATGTATGTTTAAAGACCTCACCTTCAGACTGTAGTCGTTTCAAGGATATTGTTCCCTTCAACATGACCCTTTTCCCGCAATGTTATAAAACACGAGTGATGCGTCCAATTTAAATTTTGTCCATTGCTTTTGGGTACGCGTGTAGTAAAAAAATTCTTCACGTTCGATCAAAACTCACAGCGTGTGGAGATACAGCACGCACGACCGACCGTCGCAAACAAACGCATATGTGGGAAACGCATCGGCAAGTTGGCACGGCACGGTCAAAAAGGTAAACACAATATCTCTCCTGAAGACAATTTTCATCCCGATGATTAACTTTTCTGATACAAGTGAAAGTCCCATATAAGAAATATATCATACAGGTTTAAACACTCCGAGTCACAGTTGAAATGAATAATTTGTCACTAAAATTTATTGCCGCCTGTTCATGGATCGTGGTCCATCTTCCCACACCTAAAAAAAAGGATGTCCACTCCATCACTGCACAATACTGAATGCGAAGAGTTTGAACGTAGGGGGCGCTTGTCACACAACACCCTCCCAACACCCAACTATAGCATCTGTCCCAACTATAGCTGTGACAGTCCCAACTGTAGTGCTGCAGTTGGGCTGGCCCAACTATTGTTGACCAATTTCTGTAGAAAATTTTTCAACCTTATCCAAGTTCATGCATCTCACACTTGACACAATTCATCTAAACTATGGCACTTCATCTAAGACATGACATTATAAACAATATGACTTTGGTACATGCTGGACACATGCACACTGCATGGACCTCTGTGCTGCAGTTGGGCCAGCCAAACTATAGTTGGGCCTGATGCCGTAGTTGGGGCGTAACAGGCCTATTTCAATTGCAACAGTAAGAGTTCAATATACAGACATCACTTTTTCCCTTGCAGTGGTTTATAGGCCATCGGAAAGTGATAACAGAAAATACTTTGAAATTGTCAGCACAGGCTCAAGGTTTGTGCAAGGGGTGTCAAGCGATGTCGGTACATGGAATTATGGAACTGTTTTTGCAACTCACTCTTGTCAGCAAATGAAGTAAATGAAGGACACAACATATAGGCCTACCGCCAGAACTGCGGGGTCCGACGTCTACCCCTTTCCTAGGAGCGGGGCAGACGTTGGACCCCACAGTTCTGGGGTTAGTTTTGAACCCCAGCATGCCCAGCGATTTTAAAAGGGGGCAACAATATTTTGGGGTGGGCTAGAGCTTGTGTGTTCTTATTCCTCCGTATGGCTCGAGGTATGACAAATCAGGGGCACAGGTTTCAAAGGAAGACGGACTCAAAGATTGAAACTGTACATACACGTACATGACGTACATGTTAGCCCCACGAGTGTGGCGCGGACGCTAGCGCCAGCGGAGCGGACGTCGGACCCCACAGTTCTGGGGGTATATTTGTACGGTACACGCCAGGGTGACGTACGCACAACTGATGAAACCTGACAGCCTGATAAATAGTGATAATAAATACTCACAAAATGGGTGAAGAATTTTGTAAGCCTTGGTTTGCCATGATTATTGAAGACCAAAATTGCTTTTATCATCTTGACAAAACGGCCAGTGAAGAATATTGTCAGGAAATTACAAAATTCGACAAGCAAAAGGGAAAGAAATTGCTATTCAAATGCAACATGAACATTTGCACTGATAACCACCCTCCGCTGTCCAGTCTATTACGTACGTGTAATTGTGACACGAGGCAAAAACTAGACCATTTATTGCAAAGAGGGCGTTTGTAATTTTTTCTTGAGGGCGCGCTCTCGTCCTCACGTTCGGTCGTCGCGCCGGCGCCGCCGGGAGGACATGTCGCGGGGGGGGGGGCACACCACAGACATAAACACATGACTACCAGTCTTGCGCACTGATCTTGCGTTATAACCGTGATTTTAAAAACCGTGGGCAAGCAGTGGGCGAAACAATGGACGGTAACGCGTTCAGTGCGAATACGGGCGATTCACAATAGTGCGCCACCAAGAGTTTGCAATACATTGGCCAATCATAATTAACGAGCGAAATTTGTCGACCCTTTCAGAAGCACGTATTCGTTTATACATGCTCCCAAAATACGTTCCTTTTTTACTCTTTGGCCGGGTACTACTATCTCTTCTTTTCAAGTGTTACAACCGCACTGTTTCGAATCTGCATGGGCCAGATTAAGTAAACAGAGGAGTTTTTCACAATCGAAAAACATAAAGCTTTATAAATTTTTACGGTTGGAATTCTTCAAACGTGCGTAAATTCCCTATACCGAGGGGTGAATTTGCCTACGCTTTTGGATTTAGTCGGGTGCCGTCTAGGATACTGTACCCAACCGTTGTTTTGAATAGGAGCTGCCTGTCTATGTGTTTATGTCTGTGGAGTACACAGAAATATCGGGGGGGGGGACTGATGGCCCTGCACAGATTTTAGTGAAGGAAATACGTCACACGGGGTCAGAGCTAACGATGCGCAAAGCAGTGTTGGTACATTTCTGCTAGGTGCGTGAGCTCGCACAAGCGGTTACACAAGCGGCGGTTATCGATTCAATATATTTTCTTTTTCTTCCTCGTTGCTGAAAATATTCTCACTACACTTCATTCGTTCATCCAAAATTGACCACTGAAGAGAACCAATGATATTAATTGGAATTTATCGCAAAAAGACACATAATCAGACCATGATCAGTCATACTTAGTGAGAAGATAAATTACCCCACTGTTTTTGTGCCTAGGCCGTGTTTTATTGGCGGAGGCTTTGCCGCGTCAAAGCATTGCTATTGGCAGTAGCGAATCCGACAGGAAGTGCTAATCTCGCGGTCACAGGTCGTGCACAAGGTAGCCAATCACGGTACAAAGCCACCAGCCCCCCTCCCCCAGCGCCCTTTTTGGGCACTGGGCGACCAGCGAAGTCCCAAGGGCAGACCCACAGTGGGCAGACCACAGACACAATGGCAGACCATGGGCACAAGTGGTAGGGACGAGGGTGCCACCACCCAAGATAAACAGCTCTCAAAAGAGGCAGTGGGTACAAACCGTCGAAGGATGCTGAAAAATAGTTTGCCATCACTTCCCTCCATCATCACCTCTCTTCTTGATGCTTCAGTATTTCTATCCTTTTTGGCTTTTAAAAAAGCATTTTATGACCAATGATAACGTCATATTGTTTTCTGCAACCCAAGGTCAAGAACTTTTGTAACAATGACTCAAAATTTGCATTAAATTTCTAAATGCTTTCCACACAGTTCATGGGTGTGAAAAATGTTTGAAATGCTGTGATGTCCTGGATTCCCGCTACCCCGTCCTTTCCGGAGTTAAAACAATTCCTGCTAGTTGGTTGTTTATAAGGACATGTGCCGTTTCCGCCTTGATTTGCCAGCACACCTAAATAATAAAAAAAAGTTGGCATGCATTTAAATTTGTAACACCATTTGGTGTGTACTGCGGTCGTCTCTCTGCGCAACACCATCTAGGCCTCAATCATTCATTCGCTTAACTGGTTATTAGGCAGACAGTGATAGGATTGAGACTCTTAAAGATTACATTAAGTTCATTTTTTCGATATTAAGTGGATCAAAAGGTTGTTAGAATTTTTGTTTTATTTTATGTTCTGGCGTAATAGTACACTCAAGTGTTGCGTGATTTGCCTGCGCACGCGCGCTCCCATGCTCGCTCTTTCTCGCTCGACTTAACGTCGCAAGAGGTAATTGTATTTGCTTGTAAAATTTGTTGACTTTTCTCTATAGCTTTTCGATACCATTTTATCATCTCATAACCACGAGGTGGTTCTGCAATAAACATAGACGATAATTAAAAGATGCCTTTGGACTGAGCCTGGGGTATTACGAGTTTAGGCCTAGGGAGTGTAATTTGCTCTGCGCTGGGAGGGCATTGCCGTAGTGAATGTAATGTGTACGTGTAGCCCGGGTGAGTCTCCCACGGCCAGTACGGGAAAGCTAAAATTCATGATTTGTACAAAACCTGGCCTTTTTTTAAAGCATGTATTATGTGTTAACAGGTGAACTTAAAATAGACAAAAGGTGTCCACAAAATTCGATAGAAGTTAAGGGACTCCCGGCAGTTCCGTGTCAAGGGAAGAGGGTATTATCCAGCGAGGCTTTGGTACATTTCTGTTGCTAGCATTTTACTCACATCTGTTGATTTGTGTCATTTTAAAAGTTATACCGAAGAATAACTTTAGAGGTGGAGAACTTTTCCAGAACGCCGCTGGCACAGATAGGTATTTTTTTAAAATAAACTGGACTGATGATGAGATAATGGTGATTAACAATCATAATCTCTTGGGCCTGAATTTATAAACGAAAAATCACCTATTTTGATATTATTGAGTATTTTGAATTTGCACATTGTTGGGGATCCATTGCCCAATACCCAGACAGAGCTCCAGCATGACTATAAACATCAACCTCCCAAGCCAATGAATTGTAAGCTCACTGACAAAACTGTTCGGCGACATGATTTTTTCACTGGTGAAAAACATTGGCAAGAATATCGGAAGGCACTTATGATTACTTAGGACTCCAACAACTATAGTACATAGTAACCATGAATTTGAGTTTCCAGCTGTGGTGTAGGCCTACGTGATGAGGCTGAGGGTTTTAAGAGAGTATCTCGATCCCCACCCCCAAAACCGTATGATTTAACTAGGAGAGTTTTTTAGAACTTCAACACAGTCTAGCTATCTGTCCATTGCTCTAAAGTCCAACTCGTCACAGCCAATTACCACTTCAGTCTGCTTATTGTATGTTTAGTTTCGAATAAAAAAAAGAAAGGCCGGTCAACAGCACGATTTGTTCATGATCGCTACTTACCGCACGTGCGCGCGCCAGTACTGCCTCTGCATACAGTGTTCCCGATCAGTATAGCGTCGCTCTTGCCTGTTCATCACGATCATCATGCTCGCAATGTAATCATCTTTTTATTCCTCAGTTACCAAGAAAAGTTATTGTTTCATTTTAATAAAAATCAGATCTCTACAATATTGTGTATTTATCTTTAACCAATAAAAATAAGCTCCTTAATTTTCGGTTAATTTTTTATCAAGGACCAAGGTATCAAAATTCACGTGTAGTTAAAGTGGTCCCAAGTTTACTAGGAAATAGGTTGTAAAGCACCCAGTGACTCAAGACTTTTCTAGCACATAAGTGATATTCATTTGGCTGTTCCACACCGCTTTTGATTATAACTGAGTTTACAATAGGGATGAGGATGATGAAATCAGTAGAGTTCGTTAAATGTCAGTTAAATTTTCATATGATAAAAACACACGTCCCACTTTGGCAGGATTGCATCGTTTATTACCAGTCCCTGAACAGAGGGATGAACAGCGTTGTCGAGGTTTACTTGTTTTTCTTTTTATTCTAAACTACCTCTTTTCACACTTTCCATTAATGACAAACACTTGTAAAAAGCCATCTATCGACATCTATCTAGAAAACTATTTCGAGACGATCCCTGCACATTGGGCTCACATCATCTAAAATTCTTGAAACCAACTCAGCTCCCTGGGAAGTATACTAGCCCGATGCTGCCATGTTGGCGCAAACACACTGTAAAATTTTTCCTGGAAATTTTCACCGTACTTTAATGGCAGCACGGGCGCCAGTAGAATACTGTTAATGATTTACAGTAGATTTTCTTACGGTAAATCGCTGTCATTTATTTGACAATAACTAGCTGTTAAAACAACCGTAACTTATGTAACTTATCTCATCTCAACTAGTTACATTAATTTGATGTAGACATTAGACACAGCAAGCTACCGTTTCATTGATTACGGGATCATTCTACATGTGTATTTAGGTATAATTTTCAAATCTAATTACGTATTTGATATACATTCCTCAGACACATACTTCAAAAGCCTTGATCAGAGCAGAACTTTATTTACATTCTTAAGACGCACTGGTATAGTATGTAATTATGTGCATTTTTAGGCTCACAAGTTCAATCGTGGTTGGAGTATGAAAAAGTAAGATTTTTCACTTTTCACGTTCGACTTAAATTTTTAGATAATGGTTCGCGTTTCCGTGTAAAACTACATCCAAAAAGCACAAACATTTGTCAGATAAATGTCAAGTACTCCCATAAAGAATGGAAAAACCGCAAAATTTCTTGGCAAAAATAGCAACACCCCACTTGTGTCAGTATGCAAATTGAGGTCAAACTTTATACCGTAAAACATTACTGTCAAATATACAGTATTATACTGCATTCACAAAAGCACAGTAAATAAGTGTAACAAATACGTTTGTGTAATGTTGCAATAATACAGTATAATACTGGCATTTAACAGTATTATTTTACAGTGCTGCAGTTATACTGTGCCTGCCTCACTGGTACCCGTTTACTTTTGAGTGGAGATTGCAACATTGCCATTATTGTTGTGTTTATAAAAGAACGTATCTGGTTAAATTTTAATAATTATGATCTTTTGAAAAAAGTCAATGCCTCAAGGGTTTAAGTTTAGTGAACTCCAATAACCTCCACTGAAAACAGAAAGTCTTTTATTCAGAAGAGGGCAAAACTGTACTTTTCTCATTTTTAACCACTTTTCTACATCAACACCATGCATACATCTAATTTTGTGTATTTCTAGATCGAGTAAAAATACCTGATGACATCATGTATTTAACAAAACTAATCAATTTTCCTTGCGTATTTCAAGTTGAGCAATCAACCACAAGCCCATTCCTTAGAAAAGAGGTTAAACCTTCAACAATCGATCGTAGCAGTTGACGACCTCCAGCAGAGAGTTGTCTTCGGGTGCTTTGACTGCATTTCCAAATCTGCAATGTGCTATTTGCGTTCTATTTCGCAGTGAACTATTATTTTCCGCACAGTGTAAGACTGATTATGGTATATTTTTATCATGTATATGATATATCGAAACATGGCAGAGCACCCTGGACAACAGAACCGACAGCGGCATCTCGCCGAACAGTTAGTACCACACTTTGCACCTACGGCTTCGCCTCATGTGGCTCCCATAGGGGCAGTTGAACGCACTTGTGAAGTCTTCGTTGTTTTGCAACGGACCAATGACCCTGCAAAAAGGAAGGAAACTTTTCAATTTGATGAATATAATAGACCAGTAGCGCCCACTAAATCACGTGACCTATAGAGGGTATAAAAATATCAACAAACATGGCGTCCTCCCATAGAAATTCGTGTTTTTGGTGTTGTTTACTAAAATAAAGCCGATTTTCGGTAGAAGCACTCAGCACATCAGTAATCTGAGTCTTTTACCGACTGTTAACTTTACTTTTGGTAAATGACAGTTATGACACACTTTGTTTTGGGGGTCAGCCATGTTTGTTGATGTCTGATACCCACTATATAGGTCAGGTGACGTACTGGGCGCAATCGGGCTATGTTATTACATACGGGACATTTGCTTTCAAAGCAACAATAGTAATTATGAAGCAATCATATTGGAAGAAGTTTTGAAGAGTAGAGATAGGATAGGAGGGTGATCAGTGATTACCAACCTGAAACGATTTGGGCTGTGCTCTCCAGTTTTCACCTGAAGGTCTGCCCCTGCACGCGTCAAAACACCGCACCACACCTAAGGGCAAACGGTAAAATCACTGCTCACTGCACTCGTATAGGCACTGCCTCCTTCACAGCATCTAGTGAAGGAAGACCAACAGAAGTAACCAAATACCAGGGACATCGATAGATGTGCATGCATTTTGAACATAACCTAGATCTGAAGCTTAGCTTCATCACAGGGGAATCGTAGGCAGGTAGGGTTGGCGCTAACATCCTTTATAGGGAAGAATATCTGACGGGAAGATGTGTGGTTCGCTTCTTAGCCAAAGATGGCTCTTCTCAGCCATACTCTCCCAATGTGGTTTGTCACCAATGCGTGGAAATTCTCCACAATCTTCCTTGCTCTTTTATCCTTTTGTTCTCTACCCAAAGGGTGTCCACAGGGAGTAAGATCTCTCTGCACACGGTGGGTACCCTCTGCATGTGAGATGTCCATTCCACCTGCGGTATTCCTCATACCGTCTATCCGGCTTGATCGTGTCCTTTCTTGTGGTCTTTATCCAGATGATGGTGGTTGTAAGCTCTACGAGCATGACCCTTCAGGGTTCACTTTCATAGTGACCATTTTGCTTCTCAAAATGTAAATCAAGTAAGTAGTTTTACCCCAGCGCATGTCTCTAATGACAGGTCAGTTCATTCAGAACTGAATCTGCTTGCTCTGAAGAAGGTACGGTACTCAGATACCGAAAGCTCGGCAATTACATATTTCAGAGCACTGATTATAATTATATTATATTCTTGTCAATATTCTGATCACGGTGCTACCTAACCCTTCCATATTTCTCCAATGACCTGGTTCCTTATCTTATCGCTCTGTATCTAATCACCTTTTCTGAGGCATTTCATCTTATATTTAACATTAAATATCTAATAAATGCACCTTTAATTAAATTATCACAACTGTAACGGGGAACAATTATAAAACTAAGTCAGCCCTTGTGAGGATTATTTTTGTTTAAATGAACAAGAAAGGAAACCTGACTTTTACTTGAACAAATAAATGACACATTCAATGATTTACGTGTAATACGCGTCTCTCTTTAGGTATCGTGATCTGTATTGACTTTTCTAACTTAAAGATTCTTTGCATTATTGCAACTTTAACAACTGTCACTAAAGCACTTGGTTTAATGACCACCCAGTCCATAAATCTGGTAAAAGTCTTGGTCAACCCTGATCTTTCCCCCTCGCTTACCTGTGAATAAGACAGGAAGAACATTTGTTCGTCGGTTAGATCTTGCAATCCGGGTAACTGTTTCCGTTGACGCGCGTTAATATCCTGGTAAGCCTGGGCAAAGCAAAAGACGCAAAAATAATAGGTGAATCCAAGAATGCGTGCTGAATTACTGCTCGTTGCTATGTGCAGGCAACAGGTGGCTTGGGGAAGTAAAAAATTGCCATTTTGGTCATTTTATTACAGCTCTTGCATTGAATTAATTCGGTATTTAAAAAAATAACGTTGTTTGACAACAAAGTCCTTCGCCGTTCGTGTCGGCGTATGGCGTAAATCGCGTGGGATGGAGGTATATTCACCCCATCCCAACACTTTTTAGATGGAGGGGATGGACTATCGAATCATCCCCAGTTTTTCGAGGTAAGCAGAAAATTAAAGCGGATTGGGAAATATTTGCGGACTTTCCAAGGCCTAAAAAGTGCTCAATATCACTCGAAAAAGGAAAACAATTTTGAAAAAGCCATAATACATGTATGCCGTTGTGATGTAAGATTCCGCATGAATGTCATACACATTACAGATGCACATCTGTATTATGAACATCGCCTCTGTAAAGTGTCATATGGTGCCCATCCCACGTTTCAGATTTCCGTGTCCGGGCAGGTCAACCCCCCCAATACCCATCACCACCCCTCCCCCACAAATTTACGCGTCACTGCTGATAGGCAGCTGCCTCGTTGTAGTTTATGTTTTGTTGTAATTGATTCTTCATCATTACACTGTTGCAATTTGCCATACACCATACACCCACGACGTTTGGAGAATGGAGATGTCAGTTGAGATTTTTCGCTGACGTTTTATCACTGTTATGTTTACCCTTCCGGTCGAATTTTATTTTTAGACAATACCGGCGATTCGCAGTCGTGCGCCCCCAAGAGTTTGCAACGTGTTGACCAATGGCAGTGCGCGAAATCTAGCTACCCTTTTCAAACGCGCATTGGGCCGACAGATTTCGTGCATTGTGATTGGTCAACGCGTTGCAAACTCTTGGAGGCAGACTACTGATTACCGCCCGTTTTCTTTCGCCTACTTGCCTTATATGCCTCTCGCACTCCACCATTGTCTGCAATGTTCTCACCCTCGGTTTGCTCTCCGTCAACCTGAAAAGAGAAACCAACGGCGGTAATGTTTCATAACTGCTGCCGTTAAGAGAAATGCTATAAAGACCCTCGGAAGATATTCAAAGGATTAGCAACCTTAACAGCAACATAATGTCTTACTTACACTCTTGCCGTTCTCAGGCATGACGAAATTGGAGTACTGGTCCACCAAGCACTGCGCTGCATCTTGAAAACCTATGACAGACGATAAACTCCACCAGTCTGCGATGTTACCGTTTTTATCAAACTGTCTCCCTGATGAAGAAGAATCAATATTCAAAACCAGAATGCACGAGCAACTTAAACAAAAATGGAATCCATACTCCAAACGTAACCACATCTAGCAGCTTGATGACAAAAGTGGGTTTAACTAATCGCAGAAACGTCAACGTTTGTGTTTGGTTTTGTCACCTGTTACAATTTATAGAGTTGCTTATGACAATGCCTTCGCAATATCAATCGGTATTGTTCCTTCATATTTTATAAAGCTGTGAAGAGGTTTCCAGCTTTGAGAAATTAATCGTGGAAATAATTATGTTTGCATGCGCGCCTTTAATTTTCAAGTGTCACGAACTTAGCCTCGGACTCCCTTCAACAATGAAATTGCCGGCCATGGTGCTTGCCGTTGCAAAAAATGTTACAAGGTTCTGGCGCGTTTCTGGCAGAACTGATGATCAAGGATCTTTGATCCTACCTGTGTTGTCAAAGCCATGTGTTATCTCGTGCCCGAGTACAGCTCCGATGCCGCCAAAATTGGAGTACCTGTACGAGTCGAGAGAAAAGATACTGCAGCAGTTTCAATTTTGCTGGAAAGTTAAATATCTTGGACCACACTGCTTTTCTAGTCAGGGGAGAAAGGGTCAGAAAATATTTGATATTATTTGTCTACCTGTGGAAGTAGCGTAGCTCCACTGGACATTGCCTTTTTGTACCAATTATCAGCCCCTTTCAGCAAACGATCTTTGATTCATACGTCTGTACTTTTTGGTTTTGACAGGCATTCATGGAACCCTAAGGAACCAACTGCGTTATTCGTACATCAGTCCCCTCAAGTACATACCGTGGCAGGTCAGGATGATAGAAGGGCGGTTGGAGGATACCAGCCGGTACAACTGATGAGGAGGTAAACAAGACAAAATGTTACGGAAACAATATTCAGGAACACTGATTTTCATCAGTCGGCCGCTTGATTTATTTCTCTAAATATGAGTCACCAGGCTCATAAAAGTGGTAAAATAATGTTAATGAATAGTATGTTACTATTAAAACACTTCAAACAGTACCTATTCCATTGTCCCAGGGACTGTAGAACGCATTAACCACAGCTGGTCCAGTCACCGACCACCTTTATGTATATAAAAAAGTAGGTAAATCTTTGTCCAAATAAATGAGTCCTGAATACAGCACCAAATGTTAAAGAATGACGCTATTAATTTCGCGCCAAATTCCTTGACTCTTAAAATCAGCATTTATATGTAAATGGTTAAAACGATCATTCAAATCCATTCGACTGGACGACTTTAATCCCAATTCAGAATAAGCGCGATCTAAATTTATAAATGTCTGGACATTTCAAGCTGGCCAGTGAGTCTTGCAGATCTGAGTGTTCAAGGTCCTTGGCATAGATATGCCAAACTAAACAAAAGTAACCCTAAGGATTCGGGAGAAGGGTAAAAAGAAATCTGGTAACAGAAAGCAGCATGATGTAGAAGACAGCGGAAATGAATTCCAAATGCCAGAAAAAACATGAATTTTAATGTAGAAACGCCATTTGGCGATCGTTGATCGCACCATGTATACAGGCACTTATAAATAACCTTTGAAGAATGAAACCAACGACGATGTCGGTTAATCCCCAGCCTTGTCGGTCCTTTGAAAAAGAACCTGATTCTAAACTAAATGCGTCCCAGTGAAAAATTCGGGCGTCCAAAACAACTACTAGAATTCTTACGACCAGTTGCATGAAAAGCCTGCTGCAAAATCCTTTCAACATCATCAGCGACTGAAAACGAGCATAAGTGCCACTTTGTTTTCAAATTTGGTCAACAAAATCTGAATTTAGCTGTAAAATCTCTCTTTCTTCCTTTCGCGTTTGCACGTTTTTTTCTCAGAAAATGAAATTCCATACTATTTTCAATTTAGTTCTTTTATTCATTTTTTTAAACAGGTGTTACCTTACTTGAGTGTCCACGGTTTTGAACTTCGCTGTTTAATTAAAAGTGCGGAATTGTCACTTGGTGTCGCGGCGTAGGCAAAAAATTTCAAAGGACGTTTATAAATTGGGGTGTAGTGTTGTTCGTTGTCGAATCAGGCACTGTCTGGTACTTACAAAGATTTATCAACGGGCAGTCGCAAGCGGCCCAGTTTCGTCTGTGCCTCTCGCCTGCGGTAGTTCCGAATGTTGGTGAAGTACGTGTTTGTGACGCTCAACTGCAAGAAAAAGTTTTAGATTGATATTGGTCTTGGTAAAGGTATGTTGGAAAACTTAAATGTTTCAAATTCAGTTGTGCATTGCAGAGAGAGCATCATTGTTTTGTCAGTTGTGCAACATGTAAGTAGCGATAGCAAATAAATACTAAGTACTAAAAAGAAAGATAGTCAACATGAATCGACACAAGTCTTATTTTTTGTTGCTTCACTCAACATATCGGGATATACGATAGCTGTCCTGTACCCAAAGAAGAGGCAGGTATCGCTGCTAGCTGCGGACCATTTTATGTGCAACTGCGAGCGGCTCCAGTGCATAAACATAATGATTTGATGCGTGTTACGAAGTGTTTTCGACTTTCTCGAGAAAACTCGCTGTAACGTGTACGCATTGTTCATAACTGTCAATTTACTGTCATCGTTTTGACAAACCGCTTTTTCTCTATTTTGGTTTTTGATCACTTTTAAAGAGAAAAGAAATACATGCAAACCTTTCGATTAGGTTTATAATCCTTTTCTTGCCTTCTGAGATGAAACAAGTCGATCTTATTTTCAGAGTAATCCTTTGAACAAACACTGGTGATTGAGGCTGTCATTTTTAATCCACAAGTTTACGCTTTTTAATATAACCGAATATTCATAAATGTGTGGTAAATAGATTTGTCACCAATGTGCCTCATTTTTATTGTTTCACAATCAAACGTAGTTGAAAAATCAAAGACGACTTTGGTGTGTTTTTGACTTATCTAATCAGCTGAAATTATTATTAAAATGTTTAGAAAATGCGAAAAAATTTTCTGCAGCCTGAGAAAATAGCTGACAATAGTCTTTAGTGGCATATACTTGGAAAATAATGTAAACCCCCTCAGGCCACAGCTGGGATATTTCTGAAACTTTACATTCAAGAATGCTTTATTTTAGTTGGGGGGGTACCCCTCGGTCTCATTTCTTGCTAGGTATACACGAGGTCATATGCAGCAAGGTATGAGACGGAGAGACCCCCCCCCCCCGCTTTGTGTTGGTCATTGCCTCGCAGGAATCTGGGGAATTCCTTTCAGACATCTTGGAAGGATGTGTTAAGTAACAATAGTCTGGAATGTGTATAGGGATTGGACATGTTGGGGGGTACCCTCGGTCTCATTTCTTGCAGGGTATACACGAGGTATAGCAGCAGTGTCTTTCGTCTGGGGAATTCAAATCGTTATGTTTATGTGCAGTCAGATAACTCGGTGCACAAGATTTTATTCAAAATTAACTCGCAACTGGCTTATTGAAGTTGCACATCCTGTTGTAAATGGTCCGTGTTTGAATCAGAAGAATGAGGGATGAACGATAATACATACATCGGCGGATTTGGCGTCGATGGTAGTGTCAACCTCCAGCCATTCCGGATAGCCAACATTGATCCCCATTGCATCAAGCTGGAAAAAAAGTGATTTGATACACAAGTAAGAATGGGAAGCGGCTACTGAAATAGTTTACATCGCTAACATTTCGAAGGTCATTCCAAATACACGCCTTAATGCTTCTAAACCTTTCTGTACATTATTGTGAAGACGAATAAAATGTCGTTGGGTATACCAACACCGGCAGCTTGTGCGCCAAAACGCTGGCATGGCAAAGTTAGCTGCCGAGAGGTGTTATCCTACTGGTCTAAAAGGAACCGACCGATCCGTAATCCAAAAAAGCGGCCTTCCGTTTTTCAAAGATTTTTTTTTTAGTTTCCAGTATCCACACTTAAAAGTTTTCGTATAAATGATTCAGAAAGCCCAAAACAAATGTCGAAGGCAGAGAAACCAATGCGGACCTTTTCCTGGGCTTTACGCTGATCACTGGAAATCAACCAGCTGACTCGCCCCAGCATGACCCTCAGTGCTTTCCGTAAGTCACCAACCATCTGCTCTGTCTGCGAAAAGAAAAAAAAGAGAAATCGCTTTATAAATTCGCCTTTCCTTTTTGCTTCTATTTCAATCATTTTATTACTGCTTAAAGTTAATCCTGCCGCAGCCAGCCCCTGAGGAAAGCTGAATGTTTCGTCTGCAGCAGATTGTTGCTGCCGGTGCTTCATTAATACGGGCGATTCACATTAGTGCGCCTCCAAGAGTTTGCAACGCGTTAACCAGTCACAACGCAAAGAAATCTGTCTACCCAATGTGCGTTTGGAAAGGGTGGACAGAATTCGCACACTGATTCGTCATCGCGTAGCAAACTCTTGGAGAGGCACTTCTGTGAATCGACCGTATTGTTTCAATGTCTGCCTATTATTGTGTCCGGACAGTGTACAAGCTTTACCGTTGTCTTGGTGTTTGTTTTGAAGTATTCGTCCACATACATCCTGCCGGTAGCAAATGGCACCACACTGTTGGTTTCGTAAGCGCAACGCCTCCAGCGGTCGGAAGCTGCCGCCTTCCCGAATGTATCATTTAAGTATTTCTGATAGATCATAGTGTAGTTAACTCCGAGATAGGGCACCAGGCTGTTCACAAGCTGCCAGATCATATAGTTCGCTACAACCCTGATTGAATCACAGAAGCAAAAACTAATCAAGTGATTTTTCTACATAATGCACACGTAAGGCATTCAAGGGGCAAAATTTTTAGGACTCCATGAGCAGATTTATTTCATCCTTTTAAATCTTTCATGTCCTAAAAGTGAATCAAAAGAGTTTTGCGGCGTGAATGATTGAAAACGACAATTTGGAGCCTTTTTTATGGAAAGGCATTAAGGTAAAAAGTGTCAGTAGTTAGAAGTGAAATGCAAGCAAACCGGTAGCATTTCGTTGCATCGTGGCCTGAGTAGTCTGCCTTGTAATGTGAAATCAGAGTAGGCAACAAAATGCTTTAAGTTGTATCATTTTATTTAACTTGGGCTTATCCCATTTATAATGATGTTCATTATTGTATTATCGTATAGACTGTATTTGGTGGTATAAATCGTGAGTACAGGCTGCAAAAGCAGTTATACCAGGCAAGATATGGGACGGAGGGGTACCCCCCTTACCTGTCCAATCCCTATACACACTGTAGACTATTGTTACCTAACACGCCCCCCCTAGAAGTCTGTAAAGAATTCCTGAGATTCCGATAAAACAATGACCAACACAAAGAGGGGGGTTCTCTCCATCACATATCTTGATTCAAATGAAAGCAGTAGTCTTAACCGTGTAAGCGCAGTCTACTTCTATTGAACCATTGTCCGAATATATCAAAGAATTGTGTTAGCGCCGCATTAAGACTGTACTGTTATTCACCTTTCATCCGTCCGACCCAGCAGTGTGTCAACATTCCTGAGATAAGATGGGGAAACGACAAAGATGGGTTCTTCGCTTGAAACTGGTGGTTGGACGCTTGATGGTAGGAGATACTGGTAGAGATGTGCCCAGTTGATCTGTGAGGGAAAATGAGTAAGTAGGCAAAACACGAAACTGTCCAAAAATAGACCGCCCACGCGTCTGTATATTTGCATTCGTTTACTTGCGGGTTTTTTCTTCCCCTCTCTTTTTTTTTTAAATTCAGAGTCTATATTTTATCGTTGCTTCCCAAGTTTTATTTTTGAGATAAAACTTCCCCAGTTCTATTTTTTCAAAAAGGACAAATTCATTTCCTTTTTGTCACTTCTTTTACATGATTTCACACACAAAAAATTGCACACTTTGCACGTAGGCCTACATTGAGAATGAAATATAGTTTCAGGTGTTATCACATCAATGCAAGTACACCTAAAACAGACGTTATCGTACACCCTTTGTGATAACGTGCAAATGAGAAACATTCCAAAGTGGGACAACAGGCGGGACTCTTAATACCTCATTGTAGACCAGTTGAAGATCACTGCGAGTTTTTGTTTCAGGTAAGTCATCAGTGTCGACAGACGCATCTTCAGCGTGCTATATAAAGAAACGATTTGATCATTTCGTTACATCCCCATCAATTGAAAAGGCAAAATTTAAAAACACATCATCAGCCATAAATTTAAGATAGAAATTCAACGGCTGTTTCCTTAGGCTAAGTCTGTTTACTACTGTGAGTGTTGTATACTTGGTTGTTGCCTTATCTGCTTTTGATGGGTTCACATTGCAATTCTAGATAATTATTACTTACATAGGGTATTTTCGTCTAAATATACAAATCATTCAAGTGCACTTTATTCTCAACAGAGCCCATTATGTGCTACAGATTTTTGCAAGTGATTTGGACAGCGTCCTAAATGCAACCTTTTAGATATTCATATGATTTGGCCGTGGAAAAAAGTGATTCTACCCGCGCTAGCGTCTTTTCAAACTCCAACACGTCCCTCATGTCTCTAATGACCCCAGTCCTCTCTCCACCCAGAGCTACGGCAATGTCGATCATGTACCGAAGGTAGGCAGCTCTTTTCTGAAAAAAAAAACCAAACCAAAAACGAATCAGACGTTTGTTCGTTTGTGCAAACGATGACTGGCTTTTAGACGTCAGTTTGAACAAGTTTATCAGGGAGTAGTACTGCAAGACTACTTTTGAGCAAGAAAAGCTATGGAGTGAACCGTGAGAGACTAATTTCATGGCGCTGCTTTGCCAACTCGTGCCAAGCAAATATCGGTGCTAAACTTGTCCACCTACAAAGTGACACACCGGTTGACATTAGGGCAGGTATACGCCCCTGATACTTTTGCTGTCAAGCACTTTTATACTCTCCGCAGAATTAAGCCCAGGCATGGAAATAAATACAGGGGCTTGCTGGCAAACTCATGTCAACGAGCCCGGCGACCATTTGACGAGGAGGAGAGAGAGAGACGGCCAGCCAAAGTGATCACTACTGTATAGTGCACCAACCTGCATAGCAACTGTAAGCATGGGAACAAGAAGAAATAGCCGTGGACACGGCTCCAAGAACTTACGTCTTCTAGGTCTGCTAGCAGGAGCATATGTCGGCCGAAATCTTTAGAAATAGACTCCGGAATCTATGGAAGCAATTATTAAATCTCGTTAATGTAGAAACATCGATAATGGAAGGGTTGGAGAGTGTTAATATCAAACCAGACAGGTTGCGACGATTATCAAGATACAGACGTCTAAACGCTTACTACATATGCTCCTCTCAACTTGAAAGGACTTTTATGCGCCCCTTCGTTTGAAAATGTGGAATCAATCATGAGACGGAAACTTTGTGACCTTTGCCCACCATTTGAAGGAGGAATACTGGGCTTTAATCCCCTTACCAGAGTAGAGACTTGCTTCTGTCTCTCTAGACGAAACTCGGTCGGAACTGTGAAATCTGGAACATTAACCTATTATGGGTACATAAAAACATGTATTGGTTGAGATGTTGGTACGCCCTACAGGCTGGCGTCAGATCAAGTTGACTTTGAATCGATAAAGACATAGTCATGTGGAGTTGGCTCCAAGATTTGTGTTTAAAAAGCCGCATGCCCCCTGAGCGATCCCCGTTCACCACTTCCCAGGTATGACATTCTTGCATCGTGCGTTGTGGGCATGGCCCCTCGCTAAACGGTGTTTAACCCTAACACTCCTCAATCCTTCACCTGTTGGAGGGCTCAAGAGTGTTAGGGTTAAGGCTTCATGGCTTCTGGCAAGGACTACTGAACAAATTGACAAATGGAAGGATTTATCAACACATGGTAAGGTTATTTGGCGAGAGAAGCGGTACGTTGTTCGGAAGGTCCCAGGTTCAAAACCACGCTCCAGTCATCTTAGTCTGAGGCACATTGTCAGTTTCCCGGTATGGTTTGTTCCATGGTAAATATATTATTACGGGGATAAATATGTGCTTGGCTCTCAGGAGAATGAGAGCGACTTATGCCCGAGCCGCAGGTGAGGGCGTTATCAGCCTTCGTTCTCCTGCATGTTGACAAGACGTTAGATAAGACCGTCCAAGCACCTATTTATTCCCATTCATAAATACCTTTTTGTTCAGAGAGTCAAAAGAAGCCAATACATGATGGATTTCCAACGATTTTGTTCTAAATCTTGACTTTCATTTCCAGATATGTACGAATATTATTATTTTTCACCTGTCATACTGTTATGCATACTTTAATACTGCTTTGAGTTTATCACCTGGAGAATGTATTCTCTGCTGTTTTCAATGTTAATTTGGACTCCAGTTGAAATGATCGGTTTTACATCATATTGGGAACTAAGAGTCGCCCACAGTTTCTCGAACAGGTAGGAGCTTTGGAACCAGTTACCGCCAGGGTTTGACCCGAGGACTGGCCATCCACCAAGGGAGTCCAGAATGTCAATCAGAGGAGTGGCTTCAAGGTCGTTGATGGTGTCTGTGGAAATAAGTTTCAGTTTAAGGAGTCGGCTTACTGAGCCCTTCAGAAAGATAATGTATAGATACGTTGTCTTACGTTGTTGGTAAGGGTCAGGTGTAGGTTCACTGGAATTTCTGGAAACTATGAAATCCAGAAGAATTCACTTATTAGCAAAGTCACACAGTGCTGGAGTAAATTATATTGGGCTTCCTCGGTATGAAAATATTAGAAAATTGCTTCCCAGGCGGATGCCATACATCACCGATTAATTCTCCCGGTCAGAAGCAGGGGTGAACCCGTTATCATACCTAGCCCATGGAGGTAGAATCACCATGGATTCTACCTCCATGCCCAGCCTGACTTGAAGATTTACAAAGAGAAATGAAATGCATGGTAGAATTACGTTGAGTAAAGTACCTTGGTCGAGGCAGGCGCTGTAGTATTTTCTAGCTTGCGAGAAGGATGCAGGTTCGACTGGTTGTGGATCTCGTTCAATCAGTCCTTCATATGGGGGGTATATAACGAAAAAGTTTCATGAAGAAGGGTGCCGTTGTTCGTTAACTTCTCTTGAAATTCACTAAGGATTCATATTGTATTCAAGGCCGGTTTGCATCTTAACCTTGACCGACATATGGTCCGTGTGGATTGGGATATGCCAGGCTTCCTGTATAAACCTTCCTCCATGTTCTGTCCATCGTCTTCTCGTCAAGTGGCTTGCAAAGTACATTGCCGAATTTTTACAATTCACCGAATGTGTAAATGGCACAGTGAACAGATAAGCGGCTGTCTCCGCGGGATTTCTCCTTATCAGTTGATCGAGTTGTAGGACATTGTGCAACGGACACGTACGTGGGTGTACGTGTACAGGTACGTATATATGCGGTTCGTAAGTGACTTCGTCACGAAGACGGACGCCCTGTTGGCTCTCACTGGACAATCGCTGAAGTTGCGCGTAAACTTCCGGTTCCATGGTTCCATGTAAACGGCCATCAATGCATGTAACCCTATGGTTGCACTACACCAAATACGCGTCCATAGAAAACTGTGCAAAATCGGACCGAAATAGCCGCGGCGCCGCCTGTTGACTCTCGTGAAGAGGTTGGCCTCCGTTTTTTTTTACTGGAAATTCAAGAGTATGGCCAGAAGATCACTCTTCGTTTCAATTTCATGGGGGTTAGCGACGAAAATCTTTTTTTATTCGCCTTTCAAGGAAGATACCCCCAAAACAGCAGTAAAACTAAGCGCTCATTTCTGAATGTAGCCACCTGCTTCTAAATAGGCCCCGTAATTTGGGGCTTTTTGTGAAAGAAATACTCCGAACTGGAAAAAATCAGTCCCAAATTCGGGATTTATATAAATATTTCTATAATGCCTCCTGCAGTGATTATAGCATGTTTTTTTGTTAAAAAACGCGTTGGATCCCAAAATATAAATGAGCTCGCGCGCAGAAATATAACCTTTTGGTGTAGTGCACGTGTGTCATGTCGGGAGCGGTTTAAACTGACGTGACGTCACACTCACGAACCGGATAGTACACGTACATCGAGAATGGCGTATGAATACGCCAGTACCCCGACAGTTATAAATAACATCCGTCTGTATCAAATTCAATGAAGTAATGCTTAGTGCAAATTATTACAGACACTTTGGTATGTTTATATATCACCGACTACTCTACAATAAAACTGATGTTAACATCGGCACATTTTATATACAGTACATGTATTTTTAATGGTGGATCGATACAACCTCCGTCAGTGTGAATCATGTTTGAGACCGGTCCGACTTGCCCACTGCATGCTACGTATCATTACTTTAATGTCGCTGCCGGTCACTTGTTGCCGACATTCGATTTTGCCGACAGTCAATTCGCTAACTGAATGTCGGCGAAATGACTTTAAACCCACTGATTTACATGAAAATAGTGATTCATGCCGATGCATAACTGTAGGCCTACATAAATTTTGTGGTACACCTTTTTACGTAATCAAAATGTGCTGTCTAACCCAATCCAATCTTTGAATTTATCTGGAATTTCTTGAATAAACAGAAGCTATGACATGCACACAAAGGCTGACATCATTTTCAGTTATAAGGCGCCTTCCAAAGTTTTCAGCACTTTCACGGTCGTACAAAGGGGGGGGGAGATCATGGGCCGCCTACGGCTTTTTGGTTCCTGTAACTTGTTGACTTTTTAGCAGTATTCTCATTGATATTTACATGTCAAACTTGAAAAATCAAGAAAAAGCAAGCATTACATGTATTCACCAGTCACGCACTGAGAGCATGGAGCTGGGTTATAGTATGGCTCCATGCCCCGATGGAGAGTAAACCCGCAAAGTTCGCATGCATCGTGCATATCTGGTTTGTATAGTGACTCCGTTATACACGCGGACGCGCGACGATTTGCCGGCTCCCATTGGACGATCGCTGAAGTTGCACGTTACCGGCAGTTCCGTGGTTCCATGTAACGTAAACGGCTATTAACGTATGTGACTTGGAGTGCGGTGCATTTGCAGTGGGCGTGGTTTAAACGGAAGTGACGTCACACTTACAACCCGGATAGGGCCTGCATATACTTTCCTTGTACTGTAGGCCTACCAGCCGTGGCGCAGCCCAGTATCCACCGCTTGATATGATGTGCTTACGTGCGAACAGTTTATCTGTGTGGGCACTTGCGGTGCAGCTCGAAGCACAGGCCTAGTGTGCAAATAGTATCCTGGAAGCATGCAATAATTGTGCTGTGATTGGCTACCAAGGAAATATCAATATTCATATATGTGTCAGTGAGGCTTCTTTCAGCCGTTCCTGCGTCGGAGGAAGCGGTGATCATTAACAATCTGCACTGTTACGCGTGTAGCATGCATTTCACCGTGAATTTGTGGCTTAAAACAAGGATAGTACATTGTCGCTTTCTCCGAAAGACGGCTTGGTATGACAGCTATAAAGTTGTACAGTCGTGCGTGCATTATCGCGCTGTTTGTACATGCACTTTTCAACAATGCAATGCCTACGGGACTTTGTCGATATTTCAGGAATCAGGATACAGATAGAAAATGTTGATAAGTACTAATTTGCGGAGGAGGGGGCCATCAAAAGTAGTTCTCTGAGTGTGTACTCTCCTGTGAAAATGTTGAAGACGTTGGGCGACCCGTACCTGAAATACACAAATGACAACATATCGACGCTATGCACTGCAACAAGGTGTGTGAGCCTGCCCGCAACGCGTACTTTGAATGGGCTGCTTGCCAGCTCCAGGCTAGGCAGCCAGTGTTCATGTTATGTCAAGGAAGGAGCGGGTCAACTCGTAACTGAGTCAAATCGAGCCCCGGTGGGACACAGGTTATCTCGCTCAGGTGTAGCCAGCTAGTGTCAATCCACCTGTACAAATTAAAGGTATTGGCGATTTGTCGTCATTTTTTAGGACTTTGGTATAAAATTACCCCCAAAACGCAAGCGTTTAAGAGTTGCGCTTTTTTTGCAGCCGGACGACATCGCACAATGTGCTTCAAGCTTAAAGGCGGGTCAGTCGTGCCTTTTGCGATCATATTCTACAGGCCGGGATGACGTCGTTTTGCGAACGTTTTCGTAATTATTTTGAGACTGCAAAACATTTATTTTTAAATATTTAGTTCACATGCTTTTGAGAGTCAGTTTTAATAGCTTTTGTGGCATTAAATCTGGCCAATCGACATTGTACACATTATAACCGTGAGCACAAAATCCCTTTTATGATCAAACGACGCATGAGCCGAACAATTTTTCCGGCCTTCCTCAATTGTGTCCTTCCTCCATTGCCTAAATAAAACCTAAAAACTCAGAAATATAAACTGTGTGAAGTTAAGCAGTCATAATGTATTTGTCCCGAGGTTGTAGATAAAGAAGACCCGATTCATGGGATGACATCTCCGTGATTTTGTCTGCTATCCCCATCCACCCATCAGTGTTTTGCATAAACTTTCAAAGTTCTATCAACACAGCCGGGAAATGATAACCCGAAACAAACTCAAATAAATTTTATGAAAACAAAATTAATATGGGGAAAGTCTTTAAAATTTCTGGTGACTGTATCTTAATAATTGTTCTTAAATTACGAGACATTTGTAGCGTTAAATTTCCCGACATCACCAGCTGCTCCCTAAAAAATTTAATGGTCTCGCTTTCCCTTCAATTTAATTCCCATGACCGCATTCTTCTTGCGGGTATACTGTACATGTACAAACCACAGAAGAGTTGCCCCAGAGGATTTTTTCCCTATTATATCTCCAACCACACAGTAAAATCCCTGCTAAACCGTGGATTGGGCAGGGAAGACACTGACTGCTGCTATCATGTTGCCCGTATTGTGTGTAACACGTAGGCTATGTGTAAATGTACATCCACGTGTACAATGTACATGTACATACACATGTACAAGTACACTGTACATGTACGTGTACAATTCCGCAGTATACACACACGTGCTCTAGTACGCATGCTCACGTACATGTACATTGTATTGTGCACAAGCCTCTGTATTGTGTGGACGCTTGACTGACCTTCATAAGAAAATAGTTACCTGCAAACATATTGCCATAGAGCTACAAACCCACGGAAATCATTTGTTTGGGTGTACCTGCTGCTTGGCAATAAGATTACAGAGATGACTGGGTAAGGTGTTGAAAAGTCTACAAGCAAAAGGATACGGAATCCAGCCACTTTTCTCCAATGGGGGAAATACGTAAAGTGCTTTTGAGCTCAGTGAGGGATCCTTGTACTAAATAATTGATAAATTAGATAGATAAATAAATGAGTTTAATCTATTTTCCCCAATTAAGAAAATAACTTGTGCTGGTTTTCATTAATTCAAAGAGTTTTTGCGCTCCATTGTTTCTGGAAAGGATACCAACAAAGCGAAGTCAAGTCCGTGGGCCATACCTTTAATCTTTTCTTGTAAGTCGTCATTTAGTTGGCTGAATCTGTCGACTTCTAGCTTGTTGTCAGGGATTACTTGTTGCTTGTTCCAACCTCCGCATGCGTACTCGAAGAAGTCATGGCAAGGATCCTGGCTCCTGTCCATGCTGCTCAGAACGATGGCCGCTGAAGCAGCATTTGGTTCATCATTTTCATTAATAACTTTCTTATTCTGTTAGTTGGTTGTCTAATGGGGATTCGGTGGACAGGACATTATTGCACACTGTAGATCTTTAAATTAGCATACATGCATTCCCGTAATCGGTACAGGCACAGGCGCGTGCATTATACCAAATGTAGGTTAAAGGGCACGATTCCCTAAACCCCCCAGTTTTCCAATTTTATTGGGGGGGGGGATAATTAGAGAGAGGCGAGAATTTGGTGTTTTCTTGTTCTCTTCCTTCAAAAACCGTGTAAAAGCCTCAAAATCTGTAACCTCTCCCCGCCAAACGGCCATAAAGGTTACATGAAAATCTCATACTTTGGCACTCTAAAAACAAGTTTACCTCCACCCCCGAAAATTTGGTTCTGGATCCGTCCTTTGTGCAAGCCCTTGAAAAAAAAAACATAAAAATTTAGCGCAAACCTGGAATAGCTGTTCACTTACCGGATTTGTTACATTGATCAGTAACACAAAGGGATCTGGTTATTCCTCGACCATATCTAATGCCCAAAAACACTGAAAGGAAAAGAATACCAAATTTGTTTGTCGTAAACCTAAACTTTTTACATTGCATTCTGAAAGGACTATTTATTACACATCGTAAGAGTGTAAACAGTCAGAATTTGAAGGCTTTTTTCTTTCAAAAAACTTACTTCAGATATTTCAGTGTTGTCCAAAATTTTTATTGGGCTTAATTGAATTGGGGCATTAGATTTTAAACATGCGTGTCTAATATTAACATTTGTTTGCAGCGCATTTCAAGTCAACGAAACGATGACGTTTTAATTTGTTACATGTTAATTTGGTCAGTTGAAAAAGCATCTTTTTGTTTATATATTTATTTTTGATTTGTGTTTGCTTAGCTTGGAAGGTTTTGGTATTGTTTGTGTTTGGTTTTGGTCAAGCTCAAGACCTATATAGCCATGAAGGAGATTAAAAGACAGAAATAATGACAAGTAATATTCAAGTTTGTTAAATGAAGTGAAATAAAGAACATTTTATAAAATCAAAGCACTTTGAATGTTCCTGAGTGATAGGGAAGTTTCTGTCAAAAGACAGTTGGGAACACAAAACGAAAAATACTTTAGATTGCCTCTCGTTTATAATTTCTGTACAGAGGAGCAGGTATCTTTTACTAAGTGTTTTCTCTTTAAATTGAAGTAAAACAAGAATTTTGAAGTTAACGTTAGAAAAAAAACTAAATAACCGAGCTGCTAATCGAAGGACACGAAATATATTTCCTTTGACAGAAGACCCCTGATGGAAAAGCTGGAAAGAAAATGAACTACATTGCAGTTAACATAATGACGATGTTCACAAAATCTTATCTGGCGGTGGAGCTTCGAAACCGAATTGCAAGCTTATGCCTCACGAAGGTTTTGAACTAAACGAAGCACGTCTCTAATGTAGCATGAGCCGAATAACACAGCATGAAGAAGAGAAAATGCTATTCGCTAACTTTCCTATGTATATACACAGTTATGTTGCCTTTTCATATCCACGAATTATTGTAGTGTTAAGAGCCGAGTAAAGTTTAAAAATGTGAAGTGTGAAAAAAGTAACTACCCCAGCAATAAAAAAAAACAAACAAACAAGAAAGGAAATACAAAAAATACAACAGCCTGCTCGTAGTTTTAAGCATTAAATGAGTCGGGAAAAGTTATGTTAATGATAGGTTGCAGAAGGAGAAGGGACCATACTTCCCCAAACAAATTCTTAAACATTAGTTCCCAAAGTTCTTTCCATCCATCCATCCATTTCCATCCATCCATCCATCCATCCATCCATCCATTCTTTAATTACCACATTACTGTCCATTACAATATGTCATGAATAAATAAATAAATGTGGATGGGGGTCCCAAGAAGCAAAGGCTTGTCGAGCAGGATACTCCAGTACATTAATGAGCATTTTTACATATTAACACATAGCACACCAATACACATACACATTACAGAACTAAACCAAAAACAGCAGGTCCAGTAGCCCTGTGAGACACGTTAAAAATTAGACTAATTAGAGTCTACATAAGTAGAGAGTAATTTAGCCTTAAAATTCTTTTTGAATAAACGAATATTCTGAATACATTTTATAGAAACATCAAGGGGATTCCCTAGTTTAGGTCCCTGATGCCTAACTGTATTTTGAGTAGCAGCGGTACGAGCAAAACATTGATGAAATTTAGTACACTGTCTAGTGAAGTGATCATGCACTTCATCGTTTCTTATAAACATAGCACGGATAGATTCGGGTAACATATTATTGTTGCAACAACCTGCTTCTTGCTTTTGTGTCAACGCAATTCCTGAGAATTTGGTTTGAATCCACAAATTTTGTGGGGAAAGTGATATCTGAGAGACTAGATTACCTGCAAAGTGTTCCTAGACTTTATCGAGAAAAAAATCCAGACGCATGTTCGAAAAACCAAGTCCTTCCAAATTGATATCCTATTAATACTCCAAAGATTGTTTATCTCTCCTTCTTCTTGGAAAAGAATCTTTCTGATTCTTGTTGCTTTGGACAATCGTTTTGTATGACTTACCAGCTACACCTATGAAGAGAAGGGCGACCACAACGGATACCGCTGCAATTTTGGGCCATTTATGCGGAATCCTAGACAAAGTCTCGTCATCGGCCGGTGCCAAAACCGCTCCTGAGCTGGTTCGCTCATCCGTGTTCACACTATTTACAGGATCCATGTTTACACCTTCCATGACGGTATAAACGGTTTTCACTGTTGAGCCTCGAAATGTACAACCGGTAAGCAAATACGGTTATCTATCTCCCGATTTGCTCGCCTAACACAGAGGAACACAGGTAGAACTTCAAAGCTCTTTTCGTCTCAAAGTTGCACAGTCCAGTTTATTGAACAAGCAAAATCATGCTAAAGTCAAAATGTATAATACCCACTATTCTTTCTGAATGAAAGTGGCTCCAGACATCACAGAAAATGATGACAATAACCATCTATGGTTATGCATTTTCAACACAGACTTTGCTGTTACATGTGCATGTATTTGTGACTTTCAATAGCACGACAGTTTCGTGCATATGCGTGCGGTAACTAAGCTTTTTACACCTGACAGAGATACCTTCATGCTTTGTTGCACTTGTGACATTTGAACCCGACTATTTCCGAGGCTAAAAATAACCCTTTTCATTTGGTCCGGGAAACACATTGCTTGTTCCCCACAGTAGGCCTAGGCCAACGAAAAGTGGCATGGTACAGTCAGGCTGAACGATGTTGCGTCTCTCGAAACACGGGGACAAGTTAACGTGATACTCCAGCTTATACTGTATACGCCCAGGATATCTGATGGCCACATTTTGGTTTTGAAAAGTTAAACTTTGGTCATGATACAACAACCTCTTAACTGCCCATGATAAGTCATACAGTATTCACGATTGAGCCAAGGCAAGGTATTATTTGTTTTCACCGTACAGCTTTGTCAATGGTGGCTGGACGCAGACAATAGCGGCGCATGGGCGGGAGCGGGGTGGGATTTCCCCACTGGAAAATAAAAGGAACCTATTGTTGTGCCTAGCCAGTGTTGCAGTCGAGACCTGGAAGTCCGAGACCAGGACCCAAACCTCGAGACCTTGAATGTAATTTGTGCAATAAAAGAGTTGAAAAAGAATTACAAATTACATGTATCAAGTTGCCAAATCCATTTTACTTTTATTATTAGTCGTGTTTCCTATTTATTGTCTTTCCCTTTACAAGCACATTTCCTGGCTTGTTTTCATAGTTTGTTTGCAGAATTTGGTTTCTATATCTGAGCTTAAAAAGTCCAAAAATTGGTTGACATTGGCCGATCATGGTGTCATGGTATGTGGTTTTTCATTCAAATGAAGAATATTTCTCAAGCACCGTTTTTCCGAACTTAAGAGAAATCTCTGGAAATGTGAGCCAGTTATGACACTTATTTTTTTTTCATTACCAAAGACGAGTGAGGGCGTTGGTCAGCTAGACTTCCAGTCGTTTTTCTTTTGGCATTGTACACATGCTAGTTAGTCGTTTTTACAGCAAAATAGCCGCTGTTGGTGTCATTGAAAAGGGTACATGTTTCTCTATCAATTGAAGAATGTTTCGGGTCCTTATTACCTAACCCAAGAGAAATATCCGCGAATGAAGGTGTGAGTTTCGGTCACTCAATGCCAGCTTCATTTTTTTCGCAGTACGCACGTTAAGTGGATTCTGATATAGCTCATAACTGTACAGCTCAAGGTCGTATGGTGACAACACAGGGAGCGGGCTCATTTTTGCAGAAGCCGCACCACGTTTTTTCACCCAGCTGAAACTTATCTCTAAATATCACCAGCACGTGATGAGACTTTGGGAGTTTTGCTGATGTCTTGCATCCGTTCCAGCGACGAGTAAGCATATCTTACAAAATAGAAGATTTTGTTCGCTGGCTTAAAAAGTGTGCATACCACCGGTAATGGCCGTGAACCCTTATTTGATCCCAATGCTTGACCTATATTCACAGGATGAGAGTGTCCTGTAAATGCATGCTAAATTCACTGTACTGACAAAGTTTAGTGGTTTAAAAAGTGTGTTATCGAGGTGAGTACCTTTAGGATTATAGTACAGCACATTATTTTGCATGTTTCTGTTTGAATTGAGCCAAAGACCTCTTGAGTACAGTAAAATCTGGTTGTGTTATGTTAATGGTGTCGATTCAAGGCGCTTTTCCAAATGTACGTTTTGGGTGCAATGCATATATATACGATGCGCTCATGCGTTTCACTTTCCGACCCCATTAACATAACACTCGTGTGCGTTGCGTTCGGCCGTAGTAAACACAAAGCAACGCTTGGCGCTAGGACTTGCGTTTGGAAAAGTGCCTTTAATAAGAAGAGCAGATGGCCATTTTCCGGCCTTCGTAGTAAAATCTGCCTATCTGGTTTCTTCGAAGCAGAAAAGTATAACGAACAGTCGTCAGAACGCTCTGTCCTACTTGTGTTTTTTGTTTTGTTTTGTTTT